TTCAGCCCGCAATCTGTGATCATGGACCACACCAGATACAGCTGCTAGGAGCTCCAGATGTAGCAGAGGCTACGTGCCCTCCTCCTGCTGTGCCCAAGACCACCCGCTCCACCCACCGAACCAACGGCACATCACCCCGCCTGACTTAAAAGACTGTCATGACAGTGGACCCCAAACTTATGGACTATGTGAACTCACTATACATGTTGGAGGGATGGCCTAGAGCCTAAGGGAATGATATCTATGTGTATACCTCAAAAACCAGGAAGTGGGATGGTGATTCCTTAGAACGTACTGGGAAACATGGAACCTGAGCATAACATAAATGGGATGGAATAAGGGGTGGATACTGTCCTGGTTTTGACTGGGATAGAGTTAATTTTCCTTCTTAGCAGCTGGAGTAGTGCTGTGCTTTGGATTCAGTAATGGGTGTGGTAGGAGAAGAATCTTGCTAATACACTGATGTTTTCAGTTGTTGCTGAGAGCTCTAAGACTCTCCAACTCCCCATGTCCTGCCTGTGCGTGGGTGCACAAGAAGCTGGGAGGGAGCAGAGCAAGAGCACTGGACACAAATTAGCCAGTGAAATAATCCACATCATGTAATGTCGTGCTCGGTGTATAGAGGCGGGGTGGTTGGGAAGGGAGGGCTCTCGCTTCTGGGATTGCAGTTTTGGGATCTTCACTTCTCTGGGATCACTGGCCAGGAATGGGCTGGGCATCAGTGGGCAGGTGGTGAGCAATCACATTGTGCATTACCCCTTTGTATTTTACTGAAAAAAAAAAAAAAAAAAAAAAATACACTGTTTTTATCTCAACCTACGAGTCTCTTTATCTTTACCCTGCCATTTCTCTCCCTCACCCCCGAGGGAGTGGAGGGTGAGTGAGCAGCTGTGTGGTGCTTGGCTGCCGGCCAGGTTTAAACTACATCAATCACTATCTCAAAAATCATTATTGGATTAATTAAGATACGCCCACTCACAACTTGAAAAGCAGTCAGAAAAAGGAAAAAAAATAATAATCTTGGTTCTGCAGTTACCATAAGGCAGTATATTTAGACATCTGTAAGGTTCCAGTTTCCAACAATGCTAGCTGCCTTTTGATTTTTTGAGATAAGTACTGTTAGCAGTAAAATCAAATGTTTCTATTGGAGTTGCGTACAGGGCAAGCATCCAGTATTCCAAGTAGTTTGTATTTACCGTAACAAGACATTCACTCATTCATTCATTTAGGTAAGGGCTTTGCTATTCTCTATATATTATGAACTGCCTTGGCTTTCTTTCCAGTTTTATAAAGGACTCTTGTGAGAGGTTTCAGTGATAGCAGATACCACAGCCTGCAAGGGAGCCGTTCCTTGTGTTGCCCTCACTGCAGATGAAAGCCCTTCGTAACAGAGAAGGACAGAAGCAGGTGAAGTGCGGAGCCGCGGAAGAACGACACGCCGAGACGGGTTCAATGTGGGTGATAGAGCATCAATCAACATGTGTGTGTTTATTGGTCAGGGTACATATATTTATACTTACAACACTAATTGTTATGCCTACTAGTCACTAGCTGATTGGCTTAAGCTCTAAGGGTTGTGTTCGCACGGTCCACCTACTTGCAGTCAGCTAACAGCACAAGCTGCTCATAACACTAAGTTTCTCATGCCACTATTTCTAATTCCTCTTGACTTGTTTTCGATACACAACAGTACCATAACACAATGTTTCTCAGACCACCGTTACCATAACACTGGGTTTCTCAGACCATCGTTACCATAACACTAGGTTTCTCATGCCACTATTTCTAATTCCTCTCAACCTGTTTTCGACACACCACGGTACACAGGGCTGAAGCGTCCTTGACATTCTTCATGTATCAGCAGCCGTGAGCAGCTGCAGGCAAACCCTAGTGAGGCCCAGCATCAGCGAGGCAGCATCAGCCCCTAGAACAGGCTCTGATCGTACAACTGCTCAGGGGGCTCAGGACCCTTGTCTCTGAGCCATTCAACAATTCCCCCTTTTTCTTTTTGTACGAGCAGAGCCTGCCCTAACGTTCGTTCAAAGATTTTCTTAATACATGACAAGGCACAACTTAAGCATGCAGGCTTACTATCTATTGGCTAAAGGCACTCATCACGCACCCAGAAGTGCTGTGATAGGTCTGCATCGTTAGCACGTGTGAACAAACTAAATCTACTTTGCGGTTAGTGCATCCAGGCATTCAAACAGGGAGGAAGCACTAGCTTGACTTCCTCATTCTTGCCCTTCCAGGTGACCTCAAGGGCAGGATTACCACGGGGCAGTTTTCTGCTCAGAGACCCAGCCTGGATTGTCCAAACCCTGTAGGATCAGTGCATGACCCTGATTCCCCCCCAAAAAAAATTCCTACCAGGTTTTCCCCCTTTTTGGACAATCCAGACTCCTTTTAACGTTTGAATCATAGCATTCATAAAGCATTTCCACACAGACCCCAATACCATCATGACAATCATAATGACAATCAGCATTACCAGTCCATGCATCAACAAAGCTTTCAGCCAGCCAGTAGTTTCCAAGTTTTGTAGATTTATAACCATTCTTTCAGTCCATTTTCCAAATTCCCAAGTTTTGTAACCATTCTGTCAGTCCATGTTCCAGTCTTATGCAGTCTTATGTAGCAAGAAAACCACCCTTACAGTTTTAAAAGTGTCAGCAATTGTAACAACAGAGTATGCAATACAGAATTTAATACAGGTTTCACCATGCTATGTTCTAAACATTTCACTGAACCCACAACATACAATGAATCTGATACTACATGAACAAGTTTTTGATACCAGTGTTGATGTTGAAACACCCAGATGACAGTTCAGAGTTCTAAAGTTCGTAAGGAGTCTCCAGACCCCCCTGAGGAGAATCTTGTGGGGTTGTGTTCCCGGGTGTCCCCCATCCGTTGTCACTACCGGGCAGGCCAACGCCCCAGCAGCATGCCAGTCCCCTTCTAACAAGGCACCCCGAATCCCCCCACTCCATCGGGGCTGAGCTAAAAGCGGAGCTGGTTCTGGTGAGGGTGACGGGAGTGGGTGTGGGGGGGCTGCCGGCAGCGCTTCCTCTTCTTGTCATTGTAAATGCAGAGTTCTGTTCTGTAGCTCAACTTCTGTAATTTTCTGTCAAGCTCTCGGACTCTGTCCCTGTCCCTTACCGGTGTGTGACCCCGGTGCTTTAATTCGGACACAGCCGCCGTTTTTCTCTCCAACTCAGACGCTGACGCGCCGTCAGGGGCGGAACCATCCGAAGGGGGGGGGGGGGGGGCAGAGGTTCGGGCGGCAGCCGCTCCCCCCTGTCCCCCCGCGCCGCCTGATTCCTCTGCCGCTTCTTGCGCGGTGGAGCAAACAGGAACACTTGGTGCCGTGCCCTTAATAGAGCGGAGCTGCTGATTAACCCCGAAGAAGGTGGCTGATCGTGACGGGCGGTTGGTTTCGGCAGGGACCGGCGGGGATGGTACAGCGCCGACAGCCGCCATGGCAGCAGCAGCTACTTTCTTTTCTGCTGGCATCTCCCTCAGGGCTTTTACGGTCGTTCGCCAGACCAGCCCTTGCTGTCGTGCTTCACTGCCTTTATTGCCTCCAGTGATGGTCTCGTCCCACAATAAATCACCTACTTCGCGCCACTCCTGTTGGCTAAAGATTAGCGAGGGGCCATCGCCCCTCTGCCCCTCCGCCTCCGAGGTGGGGGGGGGGGGGCATGGCTGTAAGGGCACTGGGGGGGGCTGGCCTCCGGACTGCCCCTACTTGTGTTAACTGAAACCGGCACTGCTGTGGATGGTGCAGGAATACGATCACTGTCAAAGAGCACAGGTCTGGATGCATCACTTTCTGGGGTAACGGCGGAACTTTCCCCCCCCAACTTTGTAGTTGCCACAGCTGCGAGGTTCTTTTCAAGCTGACACCTGTTGGAGAATGGCTCAGAGACAAGGGTCCTGAGCCCCCCGAGCAGTTGTACGATCAGAGCCTGTTCTAGGGGCTGATGCTGCCTCGCTGATGCTGGGCCTCACTAGGGTTTGCCTGCCGCTGCTCACGGCTGCTGATAGATGAGGAATGTCAAGGACGCTTCAGCCCTGTGTACCGTGGTGTGTCGAAAACAGGTTGAGAGGAATTAGAAATAGTGGCATGAGAAACTTAGTGTTATGAGCAGCTTGTGCTGTTAGCTGACTGCAAGTAGGTGGACCGTGTGAATACGACCTTTAGAGCTTAAGCCAATCAGCTAGTGACTAGTAGGCATAATAATTATTGTTGTCTGTATAAATATATGTACCCTGGACTATAAAAGGGATACGATACGATATATGATGCTCTATCACCCACTCTGAACCCGTCTCGGCGTGTCGTTCCTCCGCGGCTTCGCATATGTGCACGTATTTTAATATTTACAGGGGGGAGTGGGCAAGTTTCAAGGCAGTAACTGTCTTGACACCATTATTATCTACTATTGAGCTTAGAAATAGGGATAAGGCCTCTCTAGTTTGATTTGTGGTGTGGGGTTTTTTGTTGGGGGTGTCTTTGTTTAGTTTGGGCTGTGAAGACACTTGAGCATCTAAATGACAGTTTAGCTTATTTAACTTGCTGCACTATTATAAATTTCTTGCCTACTTATTATTTTCATGTCTTGAAGCTATTTAGAAGATATTAACATTTGTTAGAATCAAGCCTGTCTGCTGTGGTTACAGCAATGGAGTCATTTTTATGGAATTATAACGGCCTATAGGCTTTTGCACACTCAGTTTTGTCTACCAGTGAGACAGATGCACTGAAATTGGATTGACTTTTAAGCAAAGTCGTCAGATCTTTCTTTTCCTGTAGCAGTAAACTAATGGAGGTGTCTTCTGTAGAATAATCCACTTATAACCCATAGGTACAGATAGTGCTTGTGAAATATGATCCCATAACACTTCTTAAATTGGAACCTGATTACTGGAAATACAGAATTTAATAAATTAGACTGTTACTGTTTGTTTTTTTTTTTTTCCCCAAACTAACTATCAAATTGCTTCTATCCATGCTAGAGATTATTAGAAATGTTAATGTTGGTTCTTATTTGTTCTTTCAGCTCACTGAAGTAACTGAAAACCTGACTCATGTCTCTTCTGAATACGACAAGCTACTGTCAGAAAAAGAAGAAATTGAAAAAACAATGAATGACCACATCTGTCAGCAACTTGACAAAATAGCTTTACTTGATGAGGAGAAAGATGAGCTACAGCAAATGGTAGAGACTTGTAAAGCAGAAAGAGATCAGTTAGAGGCTGACTGTCTGGAAAGCAAGGAGAGAGTATGTATAAAATCTCTTTACAACAATTACTTAATGTGTATTTAATTTGTAATTAGGTTGTACGACTCTGAATTTTGGCCACGAAGTTCCGCTTCCACTATCTCTTCCTCTCCCTTCACTTGTTCATAGCAACAGTAAACTAAAAATTTGTTTACTAATCCAATTCGGATTTTGGAATCCATCTCTTTTTTTTTTTTTTTTTTTTTTTTTTTTAATTCCCCCCTATCCTCTTCCTGCCCTTTTGGTCCCTGTGCTGCTCTGGGTTTAGGCATAGTTCTCTGTCACCTGCTGGACAAACCTTCCACAAATGCCTGTTACATCTTTCACGTGCAGTCCCTTTGCATTTAGTGCTGAACAGCAGAGGTAATCCAGGTTTGCTCATATCTAAGGGTTTAATTCTCCTGCCACTTCAGCTCCATCTGGATTGACAAAGAGAAAGCTAAACCCAGAAAAGACACTGATTAGCTATCCTAGTTCTCCTTCCTGGTGCCTGACTTCCTAGCAGATTAGTGATTTCAGTATTCAAAGTATTTTTATGAAAATATGCATATGTTGACACGCTATTTCAGACAAATTTGTTCTGATATACAATTAATAAAAATTAAGCTGATAACTTCTGAAATTGAAAGGAAATCTGGTTAATAGTGTGTTGTTTTGTTTTGTTTTTTTTTTTTTTTCCTAAGAGAAGCTCTGCAAACTATTTTAAGAAACGTAAAAGCTTTTGTATAAATTTTGGCAAACCTCAGGTAGAACCACTCTTATGTATGTATAGACCAACTGATTTAAAAACCAGCCAATTGGGATTATCAAATGTTTAGTTTTAGGTTGACATCTTGTTACTAAACAATTGGACACATTGTTCATGTAACTGGTTGCAGCTGTCACAAGAATAAGGGTGTCTTTCATGGTGTGGTGGTGTGGTTTTTGTTTTGGGTTTGTTGCTTTTTAAGTAGTCACATACATAATCTGTTCCCCCCACACCACTTTTCTGTTTCCTCTTTATTTCTGCCTATTTCCTTTTTTTTTATTTTTTTTAAAGGATAGACTATTCCTAAAGATTGCCTTCCTTTGGTGTTGTTAAACTAGGCATGGGAGAATGACAACTAGTTTTTTTCCTAAAGTAAAAGACTGATTATTCTGATAGTTCTCTCCGGAAATTCAAATGCTCTGACTTATCATTCTTAACTGCTGATAAGCAAAACTTGGTCGTACTGAGCGAACATCCATGTAATACCTTGTTTTGTAGTCCTTAAATGTTCTGACAGAAATGGAAAACCTACAGGAAGAACTAAGGCATCAGAAAGAGCAAGCTGATATCCAGAAGAACATGTTAACAGATGGAGAAGAGAAATGGCAAAACACTGAAGAAAAACTAAATGAAGAAATAAACAAACAAAAGAAAAGGCAAGTATAGTAAAAAACTCTTAAAAATAATTTAGAGGGAGTCCCCTCAAGGTTTTATTAGAGTAACAGGCATTTACCCAGCATGATTTTGGCTGTTTTGTTGGACGAATAGATGATGTCACGGTAATACAATTTAGCAACAGAAGAGTTTTTGCTAATAGTTATGCTTATACTATTCTATATTATTTAATATAGAATTCTGTATTTTATAAAATGTAGGTTTTATACTTTTAAAAACTATGTTTCTAATAGGTAGTCAAGTTGAATGAGGACTTAAATTTGGTAACTAAGGAAAGGCACCAGCTGCTGGGAGAACTGAAAGAAAAAACAGAGCGAAAGCAGTAAACTTCAACAGTGGGAGGAGCAGTGGGACTTGTTAGCACAGGAGAGAGATGAGCTCCAGGAGATGCTGGAAGGTATTCAAGCCCAGAAGAGCAAACTGGAGATGAACCTGCAGGAGAGTGTCGATAAGGTGCTTTATCTTTTATCAGAATACAAAAACTGTAAATGGTTGGTAGATGATGATGGTTAATTGTTGAAGCTGTCTTGAAAAATATCTGACAAGTATGAATGTCACATACCCAGACTGAAGAATGTTATCGTGCTTTACCTTCTGTCTTCTGCAGTGGTATTTAAAGATGTATGTAAATTCTTTCCAAAATGTTGTTGGAGACTGCTTTATTTAAGAATAAATGAGGAACCAGAGAATGGCTTGCACTACCAAAACACTTAACAGGCATTTTTTAAATCAGTTTGATAAAATGGTATCTTGTGTAGCTGACTCCAAAGTTTTGAAACTAAAGCTGACGTTGACACCTTTATTTCTCTTCTGGGTAAGGCATATTTTCACAGCAGTGGAGACAAGGGAATCGGGTGGTATCCACTGAGCAGCAGTCCTTGTGCAGATAGTGAGTAATCACTTCCAATGTCTGTAGTTAATTGGAAGCTGTGGTGGGAGGAGAACCTTCTCACTCTTGCTACCAATATCTTCAGATTCAGCCGGTTTTGAGTATCAGTTGTCTTGTAAAAGTTTAACTTCCCTGGAAGTTCAGATGTTCAGTGAAAGGAATGCTAGTTCTGTAATAAATTATCAAAGATCATTTAGCAGCACTCTGACAACAGTCCAACTCATAAAATTTTGTTGAGTAATAATTTCCAGATAGTTCTTGATGTGAACCCTATTCAAATTACGTCCCTGCTTTGTTTCTCATTTGTGTAAACAGGGATTGCAGAAAGTATGTCCAAATGTGTTTGTAGCATGCTTAGTCTAATTATATCCCTTAGAAAGGATTTATCAGTATGCTAGTTGGCAGGCTTTGCTTAGTGAAAGGAGAAACTTTCAAAGACAAAACTTGAAATTTCTTGTACCCAAACTAAAGTACTTTTTTTTTAACCAGGTATTTTGACTCCTATGAAATACTGAATGGCCTGGCGGGTGAGTTAGATTCGCGTGTCATCTCAGAACTTAGTTGTATATTTAGTGTTCTATTTTCACTCCGGATTCTCGAAACTGAGAAGGAATTGAAGTGTCAACAAGAACTTCTCAGCAATGAGAAGATCAAGGCTGAAGAAAGGGAAGAACTTTTGTTAAAGGTTCAGAGGCGGTCAGAGATTCTGGAGGACAGCCTAACAAACAAGGTAAGGTGTTCTGTGTTTAGTGTAGCTATTCTGTCTTTTGCTGTTTTATCACTGATGTGCTAAACTTTTGCTCAAGATAAATCTCATCTAATTTTTACTTCTGGCATCCCATTTCCTAAGATGTAAACAGAGTGAGGCTTCTGTCAAGAATCCTTCAGATGTTAGCGTGATTTCCCTAAGGGTAGCAGTACCTGGAAGAAACAAAGAAAGAAACAAACAAAAGTGAATTAATTAGGTGTAAATTAGTGCAATGTAGCACTCTGTTTGTGTTGTAGACATGCTGGGCAATGTCCATTCAATCAGTATTTGCAATGTAAGCCATCCTCAAGTAGCCCTTCCAAAGCAGTTCTCATGAAGGCTGCTCTTGTAAAAGTCTCCTTTTGTGTCCCCAGGAGGCATGGGCACTGCTGATTTCCCTCTCCAGAGAGTGGCAGAGGCTGGATCCCCTTCTCAGGACAGACTCCTTGCCAGGAACATACAGGCATGGGGGTAGCTCAACTGGCTCTTACTGGTAGTTCACTCAGCTCCTCTTTTGGTGTACCTGGTGTTTTTCTGTGACTACTCTTAAAAACACTGAAGAATCAGAGAAAAAAAAAAAAAAAAAAAGAATGAATAAAAGTTAATCCTCAAGGCAGGGAGGTTGGAACCAGATGATCTGCAAAGGTCCTTTCCAATCCAAACCATTCTGTGATTCTGTGATTTTATGAGAAGCACCAACCTAAACTGCTGCCTGTCCCATAGAGGAGCTCCATATATGTGAGCCACATTAAACAGGCCATGCCTCACTCCCCATCTTCCCTGGCAGTCACAGAATCATAGAATCGTTTAGGTTGGAAAACACCCTTAAAGTCATTGAATACGGCCATTAAACTAACACTGTCAGGCTCACCACTAAACCAGATCCCTCTGTGCCACACCTACATGTCTGACGTGCGGAAAACAGACTCCACAATCTGATAGATTGTAAAGTAGGTATGTTTATTCAGCGCTGGGCACACAGGGGATCGCTCCTCCTAATGTGTCTGCTGTCATGTGGCACCGTTGCCTTAGATTTATAGAGCAAATGATTACATATTCATAATATTTCGCAATACGCCTATACATATGCATCACCTATCCCCGCTTCGTATTAAAATTAGCATTTCCATAATCTCCTCCCAGTTGAGTCTGCGCAGTGAGTTCCTTTGGTCCTGGGCAGGGGTCGTGAAGGACTGGGCGGTGGTCGTGGGAGGAAGTATCTCCTCTTCCTCAGTGCTGAACTTTTCACCCCGAATTCCTGCGCAGTCTCTGTCACCCCCTGGACCCGCAGAGCAGGTTTGTGCCGGTTGTAGGGTAATCTTCGCTTACTCAGGGGTGGAGGAGGCTTTTTACTTAAACAGGAGATAGTGGTCGAGCAACACAAACACAGCACTATCTATCTTGTGCAATCTAAGCAAACTCTTATCTCGACTATTTCCCTTGTCATCCCCTTCTTGCTATTCCCATATTAACCCTTACATCCCCTGTTCCTATCTAGGCCCTGTATCAATCCCCCCTTTCTTATCATACTAAGTAAATTCTTTTACTTCAGCGATTTTCCTGAGTAGTATAAAGCCTCATGTATAGCAGTTATCATTTTAAACATTCTCCAGACCCATAAATATAACATGATGGTTAATACTAATAAAATTGCTACACTACCTAGTAGGATCACAATGGGGTGTATCATAATATTAAGGATCCCAGTTGCAGAAGGCGACCAGCCGAAAAGAGTATCCCACCAGTTATGAATCAACTGGTGAGAAACCACTGGTGCCCAATATACAAAGTAAATTAGAATGATTCCCAGTAGGCAAAGTTAATCTTCCTGGCCGAACTTGGGTAACTTTCCATGGGGATTTATGGGCTTTCTTCACTCGGGTGTGATGTATCCAGGCCGAGTATTCCTTAATCTTGATGGCTGTAAACGTCGTGAGCAGCACCTGGAATGGCCCTTTCCACTGTGGCTCCAAGGTTTTCTCTGTAAGAGACTTAACATACACATAGTCCCCAGGTTGTATATCATGTACAGGTCCATCCAGCCCTCTACCTCGAGTACCAATTACATGTTTTCTGATCCCATTGAGTTGTTTCCCTAATGCCACCATGTAGGAGCTCATAATTTCATCTCCAATTTGTGTGGATATTCCTTTTTGTACCCCGTAGGGTTGTCCATATAAAATTTCAAAGGAGCTTAGCCCTTCCCTTGCCCTTGGCCTTGTCCGTATGCGTAAAAGGGCCAAGGGCAAGGACTGAGGCCATGTCAGGTTTGCTTCTTGCCCCAATTTTACAATTTGTTGTTTGATTAAGTGGTTCATCTTCTCCACTTGACCGCTCGACTGAGGGCGGTACGGGGTATGAAGCTGCCAATCTATACCCAAATGGTGGCTAATTTGTTGTACTATTTTTGAGACAAAGTGTGGTCCTCTATCTGAGGATATGATTGCCGGAACCCCAAATCGTGGTATTATTTCTTGTATCAGTACTTTAGTTACTTCCCGAGCCTTAGCTGTTCTAGTAGGGAATGCTTCTGGCCAGCCTGAAAATATATCAGTCAATACCAACAAATATTGATACCCCCCTTTTCTTGGTAATTCTGTAAAATCTACTTGCCATTGTTGCCCAGGCCCGTTGCCCTTCCCAATCTGACCCATTTCTAGTTTGGGGGCGTTTTTGGGATTAATCCGGAGGCAGATGTCACATTGTCGAGTCACCTGCCTTACCGTGGTATACAGATTTCTGGCTACAATCTCTTTTATCAAATGACTATACAAAGCTTCTGCTCCCCAGTGTCTCTTTCTATGCTCCTCTCGTGTGAAATGCCATAGTAAACGAGAGGGGATAATTAACTTCCCCTGTGGGGTATAAGCCCACCCTTCTTCGTTATATGTCCCCTCCAAATCTGCAGTAAGTTTCTGATCCTCCTTGGTATATTCTGGTTTACCTTCCAGGGAAATTTGCCTATCGGGAATAAGTGCTCCTTCCGTCTTTATCTCTATTTTGGCAGCCCGTTTTGCCTCCCTATCCGCCAGCTCGTTCCCTTTTTCCAATTCAGAGTTCACCTTTTGGTGTGCTTTAATATGCATAATCGCCACCTTCTCAGGAAGTTGAACAGCTTCCAATAGCTTCAAAATTTCTTTCGCATGTTTAATGTTTTTCCCTTGGGAGTTCAATAGTCCCCTTTCTTTCCAGATTGCTCCATGTGCATGCACAATTCCGAAAGCGTACTTGGAGTCCGTGTATATGTTTATGATCTTACCCTTAGCTAGTTCCAGGGCTCGGGTTAAAGCAATTATTTCTGCCTTTTGTGCAGACGTATTTGCAGGCAGAGGTCCTGATTCTATTACCTTTTGACTGGTGGTAACGGCATACCCCGCGTGTCGATTACCGTTCAGGACGTAACTGCTTCCGTCCGTGAACCAGTTCTCCTCATCCTTCATGGGGCTTTCCTTCAGGTCAGGGTGACTTGAGTATGTCGCCTCAATTGTTTCCAAGCAGTCATGGTGCACTGGTTCCCCCACGTTACCGCTGAGGAAAGAAGCTGGGTTGACAATATTAGTGACTATTATCTGTACATCATCTTGTTCTACTAGTGCAGCTTGGCATCTCAGAAATCTTTGTGGGGAGAGCCAATGCCCTCCCTTTGCTTCCAGGACTGCCGATACTGTATGGGACACATAGGCAGTCATTTTCTGGCCCAGAGTGAACTTCCGAGCTTCCTGTATGTTCAGTATCAGGGCAGCCACCGCTCGCAGACACCCAGGCCACCCTTTTGCAGTCGCATCTAGTTGTTTAGAGAGGTAGGCGACAGCTCGTCGGTATGGACCTAGGTCTTGTGCCAGAATTCCCAGGGCAATGCCCTGATTCTCATAAGAAAAGAGAAGAAACGGTTTACTCACATCTGGGAGTCCTAGAGCCGGGGCCGACATCAAAGCCTTCTTCAGTGAATCAAAGGCTCACTCAGCCTCCTCATCCCATTCGAGGTGCGTCTGTTCGGTGTTCGTTAGTGCATACAGGGGCTTAACAAGCAGTCCATAATTATAAATCCATAGCCTGCACCACCCCGTCATTCCCAAGAAGGTCCTTAATTCTTTTACTGTCTGGGGTTTTGGGGTTTGACATATGGCCTTACGGGACTGTCCCAGAGTTCTTTGCCCCGCAGTGATCTCATAGCCCAGGTAGTTTACTTTGCGTTGTATCACCTGGGCTTTCTTCTTAGAGACCCGATACCCCTGTAGTCCCAAAAAATTTAACAAGCTCACCGTCCACGTTGTACAATCCTCTTCTGTCTCGGCAGCGATCAAAATGTCGTCCACGTACTGCAATAGTTTTCCTTTTTCGGATGGGGCTTCCCAGGATTCCAAGTCCTTTGCGAGCTGGTTGCCAAAAAGAGTAGGGCTATTCTTGAACCCTTGTGGCAACACCGTCCAGGTGAGCTGGGTCTTTCGACCAGTTTTAGGATTTTCCCATTCAAATGCAAACAACTTTTGGCTGGCTTTATGGAGAGGAAGGCAAAAGAAGGCGTCCTTCAAATCTAAGACAGTAAACCAAATCAACTCTGGTGTTAATACAGTTAACAGGGTATATGGGTTTGCTACCACTGGGTGGAGATCTTCAACTATTCTATTCACAGCCCGTAAGTCCTGAACCACCCTATACGACCCATCAGGTTTCCGAACGGGCAGTATAGGGGTATTGAACTCAGACTCACACTCTTCTAGTAACCCTAATTGCAAAAATTTTTCTATTACTGGTCGGATTCCTTCCCTATCCTCCCTTTTTAAAGGATACTGTTTAATTCTCACCGGTCGTTGACCTTCCTTGATCCTAACCTTAATTGGTAGAGCGTTTTTCGGCCTTCCAGGTACATCGGTAGCCCAAACTCCCGGATATACTTGGTCTAAAATTTTCTCACTAATTTCTCCTCCTGACGAAAAACTAGTTAGAGTTAGACTTAGCACTTGAATGTATTGCTGATCTTTTACCTCCAAGGTGACTTCCCCTTTTTCAAAGATAATTTTTGCTTCCAGTTGTTCCAGCAAGTCCCCCCCCAGGAGAGCTTTTGGGGAGTTAGGCATATAAAGGAATTTATGAATTCCCCATTGCTTTCCCAATTTATACTCTAAAGGTTTACAAAAATACGCCTTTTCAGATTGGCTGGTCGCTCCCTTTACCATAACATAGTCGTCCCCCAGTGGTATTAAAGCTTGATTCAAAACCGAGTACGTTGCTCCTGTGTCTACCAAAAATTCTACTTCTTCTTGTTCTCTCCCCAGCTTAAGTTTAACCAGTGGATCCGCCAGGGTAGATCCCCCAGGTCCCCGTCAGTCCTCTGTTACATTTGCTATTTTTACATTCATTGAAGCCTTCCCATTCTCCCTCCTATTCTTTGGACATTCCTTTTTCCAATGCCCGAAACCCTTGCACAAAGCACACTGATCCCGCCCCAGCCGCGGTCGTTGCCTGGCCGGTCTCTGAACCAGAGTGGCCGTCAACTTCATCTGTCCTTGTCGACATTCTTCTTCCCTGTTGCTAAACACTTTCCACGCCTCCTCTAACAATACCTCCAGATTCCTACTTTCCGTAGGGCGCAGCTTCTGAAGTTTTCGCCTTATGTCTCCTGTAGATTGGCCCATGAACAAGGAAACTAGTTGTTGTATTCCTACTTCTGATCCCGGATCCAACGGTGTATTACGGCGCATTACATCTCTCAGTCAATCCAAGAATTCGGATGGGGACTCGGAAGGACCCTGTTTCACTGCATATAAAGCTGACCAATTTATAGTTTTAGGGATCGCTCTTTCTATCCCCTTTGCAATCCATTCCCGATACGCCCGTAACCTTTCCATATGTGCCGATCTATTTGGTTCCCATTTCGGGTCCTGGAGGGGAAAATATTCCTTAACGTCTCCCCCGGTAATCTTATAATGATCCTCCGCCAAGTCTCCTGCTGTTTTTAGAATCAATTGTTTCTCTGTTTCAGTCATATATTCTAATAGTAGCTGTACATCACTCCAATCCGGGTTGTGCTGTTTTATAATAAATTGGAAGTGTTTAGCTACATCATGTGGATCACATCTATAGTTTTTCGCAATTCCCCTCCATGCTTCCAAATCAGCGGTGGTGAAGGGTACCCTAACCAACATTGTACCACCTTCCGGCCCCACGGCTTCCCGAAGGGGTGCCTGTAAAATACTTGTTGCGGTTTTTTGTCTAGTGTGGGCGGATATCGGACTATCGGGAGAGTCTGCCGTTCCTTCCGAGTCGGCATCCTGATTCTGTGTTCGGCAGGGGAGGTTTAAACAAATCATCATCTTGTTCTGAGGTTTGGTGAACCTTATCTACCTTCGTACATCTCTGTCCAATGCTACATGATGAGCAACACCTCTTTAGCTTACCCCTACTTTCCTTACTTTCTCGTTCAAGTGCAAGCACCATAGGGTCCTGTGGGGGTACTAACCCACAGTCCCTTTGCCACTCTGGGTGGTTTCGCAAAGTGAAAAACATATCCGCGTATGATACCTCATCCCATTTTCCTTCTCTCCTTAAAAACAACATAAGTTGTAACAAAGTGTTATAGTCCAGTGTTCCATTAAGCGGCCATTTAGCGCCATCCTCCAGCTTATACAGCGGCCACCACTGATTGCAATATTTTACAAGAGTCCTTTTGCTTTCCGTGCCTCCGCTCCCTGCAATGTCCCACCAATGGGCGAGTATACAGCTGAGAGGGCTCTTTTTTAATACCCCTCCCTGAGTATTACCCATCTTGTTTTTGTAAAACACTCACTCCAAACGCTCACGCTTAACACGATCACCACACAGCATTCACTCACAATCTCACAATCTCACGGACATCCATACATTTACAGCACTTTCATCAGGAGTAAAAAAACCACAACAGAACAAAGGCCTTTCAATCACTCTTGCCTGTGGCCGCCCTCTCGGCCAACAGGTCCCCGATTGGAGCCAGCGACCGCTCTATCGGTCTGTGGCAAGGTATAATTGTCCCCCTAGACTCTCCTAACCCACACGAATTCGCGCCTTTTCGGTGCACCTACCCAGGCCTTGGCTGCACGCCAGACGTCTCTGCGCGATTTACCAGCTGCCCCAGCCACGCGTACGACTTACAGGCTCCTATCCTTGAACACACCGTTTAGTCCGCGGCTTCAGGAAGTCCTTGTCTGCTCCCACGGTGAGCGGCTGGTAGCGGAGGCTCCTCCGAGGAAAGTGCTCGGGGCGCGCCTGGGAGAGTCCGCCCCGCAGTCGATCCCGCAGTCGAGCAGAGAGTCTCCTGGCTGGCTCGCCAAAACTGACGTGCGGAAAACAGACTCCACAATCTGGTAGATTGTAAAGTAGGTATGTTTATTCAGCGCTGGGCACACAGGGGATCACTCCTCCTATTGTGCGCGCCGATATGGCACCGTTGCCTTACATTTATAGAGCAAATGATTATATATTCATAATATTTCACAATACGCCTATACATATGCATTACCTGTCCCCGCTTCGTATTATAATTAGCATTTCCATAATCTCCTCCCAACTGAGTCTGCGCAGTGTCTTCTGGTGGTGGTCGTTGGGGTCTTTGGGGATGAAGTCAAGCTCCTCTTCCTCCTGTCCGCTCTGTGACCCCAGGTTTCGCGCAGACTCAGTCTCTTACTGGCTGTTGTCCAAACCGTAGGTCTAGTCCCAACCGGCTTTGTACTGGTAAAGCCTAAAGACTCCATGCCTCAGCTCATCATGTTTTACAAACTATCTACTTTTTAGCAAATCATTAGGCAAACTGTTATCTCATCTATTTCCCTTGTCATCCCCTTACTCTTATCTCGACTATTTCCCTCCTCATCCCCTTCTTGCTATTCCCATATTAACCCTTACATCCCCTGTTCCTATCTAGGCCCTGTATCAGTCTGCTGCCACTCCACTACTGGGATAGAAACTAAAATAATCTTTGCTGAAATTTACAAGTTTAACCATTTCCATTCTGTTTAGATTTCTGGAAAAGGAAAGAAAACATATCTTTCTGTCCAAAAGATAAAACAGCTGAAAAGCTGAAAGTATCTACATATTAATCTGAGTGCAGGGCTAACATGGAGAGAAATCGCATAAATGTAAAAAGGACAACAAATGTTGAAAACACATACATATATTTTTGTTGTTTAGCTTAGTACTCAGGAAAGCATGGCACTTTAACAGAACTGTAAAGAAACAGAATGTCATAAAAGAAACCTAATTTGTCATCAATTTCTCCTACTGGAAAAAAAACATCAGCCCATCAATAGTACTAACAGGGAGTAACAGGTAACAGTAATTACAGTTATACACAGGGTACCTTGATTTCAGCCACACAGATTAACTGTAGTTTGGATCTAAACCAAGAATATGAATGATAGTTTCTGGATTATCTCTGAATGGAGATGCTTCTGCCAAGCGGCTCTAAAAAAAACCTAAAGAAACCCAGTGTAAATCAGAAAATGATAGACTACAAAAATCACAGAAAGATGCAGCTCAGCATAATCTGTAGTGATCTTAGTTGTGAGAATCCAAATTATAGTACATAAACCAGTTTATTTTTTTGTTGTCTTTCTTATTGTGTCGAGTGAAATGCATCTGATGAAAAGCCTTGAATCTCAATTTTTGTAAAAAATATTTATGTAAGATCTAATATGGAATTCACTTTCCAACTTCAGACAGTGTCAAAAGTTAAAACATAAATGTAGGCAAGTAAAGAATTATATAAAAATATGAGCAAAACCAAATTGACTTCTATTTTTCATAATCAATAGCAAGTTATTGTTGACTTAATGATTAATCAAATCAACTATTTAGAATACACAGCTATTTTTCAGAGCCCTAACACACACATTTTAAAAGACAATGAGCTAAATTGCCATTGTTCTTGCTTCTATTTTTAATGTAAATTTCAGTGATTTCAAGTCATTAACACTTTGCCCTCTCAATGACAGAATTTGTTTCTCTGAAAGCAGGAAACTTTGATCATAAAACTCTAGTCAAAGTAATCAGAAAACTCCCTATACAATACATTACCTCATGTGGCCAAGTCAGGAGATGTTATTGTTAGCCTCGCATTCGTATTCCCAAACCGAACCCAGCTTTAGTGAAAATGAGAGGAAGCAGGCAAAGGACAGCTTTGGTAGATGCTGGAGTCAACCTTCTCTAGAGTGGCTGTTGATATTAGTTGCCCAACGTGAAGTATCCCAAATGTAGAAGGTGGTACTTTCTTTATGTCGGTCTCTTTTAAGATGTCTTAGGCTGGATATAGGCATAGTTCAGTTTTTTATCAAAAAGGCAAATAGTTGAGTACTTAATGGGTGTGCTTTGAGAATTTCCAATATCCATACTATCTCAGTCAAAGCAAGTTCAGATGTCTGTATGCTATGATGAAATCTATAATGCCAGCTCAGACCTTTTTTGTTTACGTTGGAAGGGACCTTTAAAGCCCACCTAATCCAACCCTTCCCTCCACCCCAACACCCCCCCCCCACCACCAAAATGAGCAAGGACATTTTCTGGACATAAAATGTCTCTCAAGATACAACAAAGTGTCTTAAAAAGTATGATCAACTGTAGCATGACATGCTAATTCTAAAATGGTAATTATGTCCAGCTAGTTAGTTCAGAATGAAAAACGTATTGCTGCTTCTTCCAGGACAAGACCTCACATTAAGTTATGTGGAGCAGTATACTAAAGAAGTGGAAATAATGATGGCTCAGCCTTTCAATCCTTCGGTACACAGAATTCCCCATGGGAATTTTGCAAGGGAAAAAGTAGACCATTAGAACTAACAAATTTTTCTCCTACCGCTTTTATGTAAGATTTTCACTATCTGAGCCCCCTCCCCACATAAGAAAAAAACTCCTCTCTAGATTTCCACATAAATTAATTTATATCTGTAATATATACTTAAATAAAACAATACATGCTTGTACATTTCAAAATGTCATCTCTAAAATGAACACAGCAACAAAGAAATCCAAGCATTCTGTAGAGGAAACAAAATTAGTTTATAAATTCCATAATGTGCAGTACAGGATGGTATTTAAGCATAACTGGGTTGAGTAAGTGACATAATGAAAGAAAAATTAGCCATGAATGCTTCAATTTTTTTTTTTTTTTTTTTATTATTTTTCCAAGATTTCATAGACTCCAACCACTTGTTTCAGAAGTTAAGACCCAAACACCTTCTGGTAAGTACAAAATTACCTGTCCGCAATTTTAGAAGAGATTTTTTGCAGTGTAGTCAACCCTTAATTTCTTCATAGTTTTTAAATTGCACATTTCACTCATTTAATTCATTTTTGATTATAACTGTATTATGAACTAGCCAAAAATGTAATGTAGATCTTCACTTCCAAAGATAAATGTATCCCTCAGTATTTGATTAATGAGGAAAGAACAGAAAGACACGCGTAATACATCTCAGCCATCCACCTTTCTTTATAAACATGTATTTTCTTTCTGCTTTACCAGGGAACCTCACTTTAAAAACCCTAAACAAATAAAACACTAAGAAATGTCTGTGGAAGAACCTTTACCTTCCCACAGTCACACAAGAGAGCTGCCAGCTGAGGTCGCTGGCTTCCAACAGACCCTGTAACTGACTTTGAAAGGCTTTTGATAAGGCACTAATATCGCTAATTATATAAAATAAGATTTTGAAGCAATTTTTCTAGATCAGTACTTTCACTGGTGAAGCGATGCGTCTCTTCAGTGGATTTAGTACTAATTTGCAATGGGATGCTGTTCAAATTACTGTTTGCAGAGTTTCAGTATATATGGTGTGAGGGTGCATAATAGGCACTATGGACTTAGGCTCAAAACATGAAATATATGGGCTGTTTCATTTATTCTTGAAATGTGGCTCTGGCTGCAGGCAAAAAAAAAAAAAAAATTTATAAGCAATAATAACCACAAAGAAAAACACAAATATTAAATCGCATAGTTACCACACGCTAATAATGCTTGGAAGCCTCCTAGCTTAAGGCTTAGTTGTGGGAAGCAGTTCCCAAACAGATAAAGTGGTGTCAATGGGTGTTTTGCATGAAGTTTTGCTGGCTGTCACTAAATAGCTAATACTGCTTGAAATTGTCTTAAGTGTTTTGTGAAACTTTTCTGCTCCAGGTGGTCACTCTTCAAGGACTGATTCAGTGGCAATCACAGCCCAGGCAGTTCTTCGCAGCCGGTTCCATCAAAATTGTCATGGCAGGGGTACGGAGGAATGAGCTCTCCCATGAATCATGCAGCCCTAAAAAAGGCTGGCCTCCTGCTGTGCACTAAACCAGCTTCTGAAATTATTTTTTAAGGGAAGTTTCTAGATGAAAATTAACACTGTGAGTATGTATGAGAGTTCACATGAAAAGATTAACTCTAAAAAACAACAACAAAAAAAATCATTGCAATAACCATAAGTCCAAATATTACTTCTTTTAATTTCCCATTTCAGGGTTTTATTAGCGATTCACGTTGTATAGGTAAGACACTGACGTTCGGTATTATTAGAAACTCTCTATGGATTTTAAATATAATTTGTACCTGAAGAAGTAAAAATTATTTCAGCTAGTTGGTTGCAGGACTTGAATTAGTTTGACATTGATCAGAGTAGTATTATTCATTAGTTACAGACTGCTAGGCTGCAACTGATTTCACATTTTTTTCCTATGGTGAAGTCTTCAAAGATATTTCATAAAGAGCTCAAAAAATTTTCAGGTGAAGAAAAAAGACCTTTCTCACAGAGAATTAATCAACACACATCGAGTCACTGACTGGGTGAGAGGATTATCTGTAACCATCTAGCAAAAAAGTGATTAAAATTTGGCAGTTTTCCATCAGAAAATGCTGATTTGATGAAAAGCAGAACATTCTGCCTATTTGCATCATCAAAAATCTAATGGAAAAAAAAAAGCAGAAAATTTCCTTCCAACGTTAACTAGGTGACTTTTTAAATGTCATTTTATCATTGTTTTTAATCACAGTGGTAAAAATAAGATTTAAGAAATGTTACTGGGCATATTTACGACTAGTGATACTTCGATAATGTGGGTAAGAAAAAGTAAGGAAGAAGAAAGTGAAGAATCCCTGTACACCAGCATTCCACTCTGTTTCTCCTTAATGTTAAATGTTGTTTTGACATGTTAGCAGATAGTGCCCTATTTTGAGCACTGATTATACTATAATAATAGTTAAGAAAGTGACAATATTATGCCGTATTTATCTTTTCAAAACAAAATGTCAGGAATTCTATTGTAGATTCAGTAAAATTTTACTGCAATTTTT